GGAAAGAGGAAGGAGAGGGTGAAGGATCTGAAGTGATTGGGCCTATGAAGAACGGGTTGGGCCAGGGTGATTTTTGGGCTGCGTCTTATAATGGTTTGGACGGATGGGCCAGTTTGCGGTCATAGGATCACAATAGAAAAGCCTGCAAGTGGGAGTCCTTTTGGGTTTCCCGAAATACTCCTTCGGTGGGACCCATGTATGGTAACCGTGGCCCTATATGGTTACTCAGTTTGGATAATGCCTCGTAAAAAAATTTTAATTAATCAATTAACACGAATTAATTATTTTTATTAAAAGAACAATAACTTTCACTTGGTTGAAGGGCTCCTTGGTCTTTTATGCTTTAAATGTGCAGTAAAATAACCTTTAAAGTAAAAAATAACAACTTATAGTTAAGAGAACTTAGGTCGTTTCAATATAAGTTTTTTAAAATTATCTACAAATAATTTTAAAAAATAGACGTGTGCATAGCATTTGAGAATAAATAAAAGTGTATGAGTTATTTGGATATTTGAATGATATGTGTAATATTTTTCAGTGGTCAAACTTTATTATATGTAATAATATTGAAAATGATATCTCATCTTTTTTATGGTGATGAGGAATGTGTTCGTAGTAAAGATATAATTGGGATCCAATAACATTTTTTTTTTGTTTTTCTCTCTCTTAACCTAAAAATTCACACTATCTTTTCAAAAATTAATTGTATAATCCATTTTATATTCCTATCAATCATGGTCCTTAATTTATTTTTATTATTATTTGTTTTACTTTTAATGTTTTTTAAAGTTTTATTTTTTAATTTCATCACTATGCTTTTTATTTTATTTAATTTTTATATTAGATTTTATCCTTATTTTTTTTAATTGTTATTTTTTATTTTTTATTTTTTATTTTTTATTTTTTTCTTGGTTTATTTCTTTCTTTCAATTTTTTTCCTCATCTTTTTATTTCATTAAAAAAAAAATTAATCTAATTTGGTTTTTATTCTTTTTATTTTTTATCATTTTCTTAATTTATTTTAATTTTCAATTTAACCCCTCATTATTTTCTTTCATTTAGTTTCGTCCTCAATATTTTAATTTTTATTTGTTTTGCTTTTTTAATTTTAGATGATTATGAATTTTTCTTAGTAATTTTTTAGTGTTTGTCTTTTATAATATGATCATAATCTTATGACTTGGGTTATTAATTTTAGATATTAGTTTGATGTAATTTCAATTATTTTTTTATACTTTTTTTTTAAATTGATTATTTTTTAAATTTATCCTTTAACTTTATATTATTGGGCTTGAGTTTTGTGATTTTTTTCACTATGCTTTTTGCGGGTTCTCCTAGGTCACAGGTTTATTGGGTTTTTTTTTATATATTTTTTTTATTTAATTTTTTTCTTCAACTTAATCACTCGACATGAAGTTATTGGTCCTTAAGTTTTATAGTTTTTTGCGTTTTTTTTTTAGTGGGGTTATTTCAATTTAATATGTCGAGTCGTTATTTTGTTGAATTAACTAGAGTTTATTCAAGTTTTTTTCAATATTTTTTTATTTGAATTTTTTTTTTAATCTCATCATTTGATATTTGATATTAGGTTATTAAACCTTGAACTTTTTTATTTTTCCTATTGTTCTTTTTTGTGGGGTTATTTTGAGTGATAGATTAGTCAGGTTGACTCAGATTGTTTTCGTTTTTCTTTTGATTTTTTTTATTGATTTAACTTCGGTCATTTTCCTAGGACCTAATATTTTAATCCCGATCTCATATTACAGGTTGTGAATTAGCCAAGTGAACCCGAGTTGACTTAGGTTTTTTCTTCGATTTTTTTAAATTATGTTTTTGGTTCATCCTTTAATATTTAGGTAATTAGATCTTGGACTTTGTGATTTTTTTTTTTGAGTTATCACTAGTTGCATATTATTTAAATTAACTCATGTTTAACTTATATTATCGCTTGGACATTCTTTTTATAAGTTTTTTTTTTATTTTGAACCCGCAATGTAGCATACATTATTTATCTAATAGTTATGAAACTCTTTTAATTAGTTGATTTGATGACCTTGCAACTGGGAGTTTGATATGGGTTGGATTTTTATTGGAAATTATTTTTAAAAAACTCAAGCGACCTAACAAATTAAACCGTAACTTGGTTGATTTGACCAAATTTAAATGAGATTTTACCGGATCAAATCTAAAAAATTATAAACAAAAGCTAAAATAATATCATTAAAAAAAAAAAAGTAGATTCACTTGATAAAAAGAACTTGTCAAGTAATATGCATGACCTATGAATGAATTCATAGAACAATATATAGGATTCATTATTTATACAAGTATCATATCACTTTTGATTTATTTATTTTTTTATTGCAGTAGTTGATATAGTTATGTTCCTTTAGTATGATTTTTGCCCATCAAACTTCTCCCCTGGTTGTTTTGCCGTAGCTACGCGTCTTGTCCAAAGCTTTCTCCCCCATTTTCCAACTCTCCACTGGCATCCTAACTACGTTCTTCCTCATTATTGTATCAGAAGGTTATAAACATAGTCGATTGATTGCCACCAGTGAGGTCTTCATCCTAGCTTCATTGCTATTTTTTAGATTGATTGCTTGATAATATAGGAGTTGGATTGACTGTGCCATCTTGTGATTGTCAAAATGTATTTCTTGATCTGTCTCCATGTTCTTTGACACCAAAAATTTAAGGGCCATTACAGGTTGTCATAGAGAGAAATTATTTATTCAAAACCAAAGCCAATCTAGGTGATGAAGACTTTTGCCCTGTGCAATGTGGCAAAGAAAGTTGGAAGACAATGCAAGCAACTTCCTTTAGCAATTGTGGTGATTGTGGTGGTGGGAAAGGCACTAAAAGGTGGAAAAATCTATAGAGAAGTGGGAAATCGCATTTCAACATCTTAAGGGATCCCTGTGGTCTCTGTAGAGACTAATTACAGAGACGAAAATGTTTATCCTTGTCTTAAGATGAGTTATAATTATTTGGAAAGCAAGGCCAAGTTATGTTTCTTGTTGTGCTCGTTATCTCTAGAAGATCAAGAAATTCTTACCGAGGACGTGACTAGATGTTAGACACTGACAAGGAAGAACATGTGAGAAAGCATGATTTGGTTCGCCACGTTTCTGTCCAGATAGCATCACAAGGAGAGCATGTATTCTTGGTGAAAACTGGCATGGAGTTACAGGAGTGGCCAAGCTATGAAGCCTTCATGGTTCTTCTATTGAAGAACTGCGGGATGAATTAGTACGAGAGCTCACTGGTTAAGATTGCTGGACTTGAGATCGTGCGAGTAGCTAGAAAGGGTTCCTGTGAACTTGATTGAGAGATTGGAGAACTTAGAAGAGCTATGCTCTGGGGAAAAGCTTCAAACAATGTCGTGTTGCGGAGACAAGCTCGCAAAGAATCAATGCTAGCTTTACAAAGCTAAATTCATCGTCTCAGTTCGCTGTATTATTCTTGAAAGTACCTGATATCAATATCAAGATTTACTAAGTGTAATCTGTGGATCTTCTAGTTTACCAACACCTGAACTGGTTCAGGATTTAAGCTGTAGCTGCTGTCAACCAACTGGCACAGAAGAACTCAAGATGATGAACAGAAAACACTATCTAGAAAAGAAAAAGTAGTAGAAGAAGAAGAAACAAAATATTCCTCATGTTTATTTGGTCAGTGCCAAATTAAGCAAGATACTCCTCAAGATGGTGCTTCAGATGGGAAAGAGCACCTAGATCAGGATACTGACAATAGGGAAAACTCAGGAGAGGTTATTCAAGAAAGTCATTACAATGAACCTGAAAACCTTCAAAAGGCTTCAGAAGAAATTGTGGAAGAAACTTCTCTTTCTCTCTCTACCCAAGTAATGCACTCAGGCAATGTCAAAGGAAACTGTCCTTGAGCCTGAAGTTATGACTGAAACAACTACAAGTTGCAAGACCCCAACAACAGAAACTGAGCCCAGATCATCAGTTCCAAATTATACAAATTCTTTGACAAGGTTAACTTTCATTCCTTCTTAAACCTTACTTACATTTGATTAACTTTAAAAGTAACATACTTAATTTGAATTTTTTACAGCCTCCAGCTTTTTCTGAAGCTTCTGCGAATATATGAAGCAGCAAAGTCCAAGAGAAGCTCCGCCAGAGCATCAGGTTCCTCGCAGACAACTTCCAAAACCCAAAATCTCTGAAGTTTATGTGCTCAATATGAAAGCTTGGGATCTTGTCGATGCTCAAGAGTTTGAGGTACTTTAGGACTTGCTGGCGAGTATTGTCAATTCAGTTGGGAAAGATGGTCTCCCTATTGAGGCTCAGCTTGATGTTGCGGATATTGCCAATTCTGTTAAATTCTATGGCAGGAGCATGCTGGACATTGGTAAGAAGAAAACTGAAGTGGCAAAGCAAGTTCAGGAAAAGGTGGATGCAGACCTGCAAATGTTCCTCGATGAACGTGGAATGTTAGAAGTTGAGAATAGTTTCAGAAAGGTTTCTGAAGGTGTTCGATATTTTTCTTATTGCTTATTGCTTGATGAATGTTCAATACACCTTGGCTATTTATATAGTCTCATATTGTAATCTAACTGGAGTTTTAAAAACAAAGTTGCCACAGTAATAAAAATAATCCTAATCTAAGACATAATCTAAGATAGATAATTCTTGTCAGAACTCAGAATTTCTTCCGGACTCAGAACTCAGAACTCTTCAGAATTCAGAACTCATAAGTGAGAGAACCTAATCCTGTCACTTCTGCTTCTGACTTCAAATTGAATTCTGCCACATCATGGAAATGCTTGCTTCTCATCATTTTCCCACCATTTACTGAGATTTATGCTGTGGAAAAACAAATTCAGGATCTTCAGCTGCAACTGCAGAACTGAAAAGAATTACTTTCTGCTAAGCAAGAAGACTTCATTAGCTTGTCCATAGAAATAGTCTCTTTTATTACAGGACATGAATAATTCCTACCAATGGAGGAATGACGACTACTCGTCCAGCTCTCCCATCAAAAGCACAAGAGGATAGATGATGTTAAAGAATAATATAAATCATATCCTAGGGCCTCACCTAAAAGCTTAAGCTTTTAGGTGAGATGGTTCTTTAACATGGTATCAGAGTCTTGATGACCAAACGGTCACGAGTTCGAATCTTACCATCCCCATTTATTTGGCATTACCTTGTGCAAGTTTCAAGCCCAAAGAGCTTTCACTTGAAAGGGTGTGTTAGAGAATAATATAAATTATATCCTAGGACCTCACCTAAAAACTTAAGCTTTTAGGTAAGATAGTTCTTTGACAAATAACACATGCTTTTTATATTCTCCATTTTCTGTTTCTAGCATTTTTTGCCCTTTAGCATGAGCTGGATAATGTACCTTTTCCTTTCCTTTTTCTAGTTAGTTATACAAACAGAAACAGAATAGAACATACAATATATATATTACTCTCTTCTGTAAAAAGAATGCAACAAATGTGGGAGAAATGATTTCAATACATAAAGAAAACTTATTCATCTCTTCCATGAGTCGATTGTTCTTCTTTTCAAGGTTTTGATAATTCTTACATCTTTAGTGAAAAACAAGAGTGAATTTAACTTGTGACTTTGGAGGCAGAAGAGTAAAGGCAAGAAGAAAAATGGTGCAAATACAGGGAGGACATACTTGACAATGAAACCATGGTTGTTGGTTGCTAGAAAATTCAGAGGTTTTCACTTTAAAGATTTGAATTTGGGTTGGCGTAATGAAGCCAAGAATGTTGACTCCAAGAATATTATGCTCAGGCGATGTCCCCACAAAAGAAGTTGCAAAGATCATTTTCTGATGCTAGCATGCTGCAAAATTTCAATGCTGCTACGTCCTCTTTTTCTATGCTGCCAGCTTCAATCCACATAGATATCATTGCCAGCAAAAGTCTCCTTAATTTCAATTCTATCACAACAGGTTCATATCTGTGACAAGCATGTGAGATTGGCAAGAGAAAACAGGCTCTATCGAATTCGAAGAGTGGAACCAACAAAAATATAAGGACTTGATTTATCATGCATTAGAAGGGAAATTCATATTGAATTCTGCAGGCATGGACAGATGCTTTTCTTTAAATTTATTAGAAGCTTCTCCATTGGTTTGTTTATGTATTTCCACATGGAAGTGACAATTATGTATCTGCATTCTTGCTGTCTTCTTGTTCACTAACCACGTTAGCCTTTTGATGCCCCACCAAATTCTTCCAAGAGACGCTCGATCGTCTTTCTTGAGGTAACTTCGTCAATCTCAAATGCCTTCATGTCATCTCTGAGACCTGCATGATCGACAAGTGAAAGAGGGTTTTAGTGTATAAGAGTGGACCTGCGTTGAACGCCGAAAAAGAAATATTTTCTATTCATATCTAAATAATCTCCACATAATGCAGAAAAACTAACTTGGTCCATGCATAGCTTTGAGTGGCAGATGGGAGGCATTTGAACTGAAGAAGGATAGCAGATTCCTCATAAGCTCCACAGATTCAGCAGAGACCAGTATCTCCCTCTAAGTTACACCAAAAATATGCATAAGAATAAATTCTGTAAATAAACAAAGAAATAATAAAACCAAGAATTTCTTCGTACCTTGAAGTTCTTCTGAGCATCATAATATCCTGATACAATCATGAGTAACCGAAGCTTCTCCGACTCTGAGATTTAGCAACAAAGTACCATTGGCAACTTATAGTCAAATGCCATCGCATAAATGGATGGATGAAACGTTCTTAACTAGAAGACATTGTAAAAGCTAATGATAAGCAGGAGAAGGCACAAGAACAGAAAACATTTTGGCATTTGCTTGAGCCCCCATGTAAATAATTTCTGTTAAAGTGTTAACAATATGGTAGATTGACCATGCAAAGATATCAGTTGGTCATTAATCAAGACTATGTCCGTAAAATTAGATTTCAAGTCTAAATGTGTAAGCAGTTCCTCACGCTGGAAATTCTTGATTTCTTCTTTCGAAGAACGTTCATGAGCAAGAAACTGCTCCAGTGATATGCCAATGGAACTCATCCCAATATTTGACACCATTGATCTTGAACCAGTAGGACCTGGCTTACCTGGTCAATTGCAAGCATACGAAATGCTTTATTCAGAGAAAAAATTATCTCATGACAAGGCATAAGGAACAAAATGATAAAATTTATTACAAACAAGGTGAAAAGTTTCGATAACAACTACATTCTCTAAAATGTCTCAGGCCAATAATGAAAACTTGTTCTGGCACTGTCATAAATCAGTTGCATATTAAATGATAAATATGGAGAAAAGCGAAAGTCCAGACCTCCTCTTGTCCACTTTTTAAAATCCTTGCGCAATATGTCAACTACTTTAAGATCAGAGATATCATACATTTTGTATCTCACTGCAAAAGCAAGGAGTTAAGATCAAAGATTAGAGAAAAAGCAGCACATGCACAAGCTTTCAATTGCTTGCAGCAGACTTTAAACACAAAATAGAAGTTCAGGCCAATAGAGACTCACTTATTTGATAAAGGCCATTGGATCCAAAGCGACCAGCGCCATTGAGTAACAAAGTAGCCATGTACTTGTCTTTGGTAGTGCAATGAGGACTAGTAAGGTTTCCAGTATCCATTAGGATGCCAGCTAACTGATCGAAAAATAGCCAGATTTAAGAAATTTGGTTGAAAAGTCAAGATTGAATAGAAACATTCATATATTTGTCCTAGGTAGCCTGTCCTTTTGTAAACCATAAAGTAAAGGGAAATACAGGATTCTGTTGTTTTAAAGTTATTCAAATCCAACTGACAAAGAAGAGGTGAAGAGAAAACCCTCAGGCAGGATTGGTATAGATTTTGCACTACTATACCTTACATAGTTTTGTAAGCATGTGATGGTGTTGAGAAACATATAAAGAGAAAGGTCTGGATGGTAAATGATAATAGAGTAAAAAAACTGAAGAAAACTAAAAGAAAAGGGAAGATTTTGTCTTTAGAGGCAGTAGGTACCAAAAGTTTACTGAATCTTTGCCCTGCCAAAAGCTCCGGTGAAGTCAGGAATAACTTTTCAGCAATAAGGCTACAGCATGAGCAGTCCTGTGCAGAAGCAATAGCCTAATCACACACTTGTTCATAGTGGTAACAGAGAAGTTAAAGCATGGAGATGGCAGAAAAATTTGCACATGAAATCTGTTTCTAATCTTAGTTGTCCGAGTTTTCACTAACAAAATAATACTTTGGATGGAATATTATTTCTAGATGGCCTTTCATTTCTTTACTTCAGCATTGTTTAGGATTAATCTTATGTATGGATTCATAGTCCACCGAGTAGGCTAGCAACCAGGATTTGGAAGGCTTTCATTCTTCAAAAGGGAATCGATGTGGGAAAAAATTAATATTTAGGAGAAACAAAAACTTGAAGCATACAAGAAAAGAAAACATAGTGCTCATGGTGCATGATGATACAGGTTAGCTTAAGAGTAGACCCGGCGCTCTGTTGTCATCTCCACAACAAAGGCAATAGGAATTTCTGATATCCAGCAGATTACCTATCATTTAGTCATTCAGTTGATCTAAGTTATATAGATTGCAAAGCTTCAAATACCATACCTGATCAACAGTAACAGTCTCAACCCAAGGATACACAGATTCATCCTGTAAAACAGACAGAAATTTTAGTCATTTCACTCTATGAAAACCATTGGAAAGAACAAGAGAAATGTCAAAGAGAACCAAATATTCACCTTTCTGCAATTGAATACTTCAACGACCGCTTCCTTTAATGCCTGTTCAATGAGAAACACAAGTACATATCATTCTTAATTACCAATAGCTGTTTTAATAGCATAAGAAATTTTTCCAATTAGCCACTACCTCCTGTCTTGCTGGGAGCTTGTGTCCATTCACTAGAACTAGCTTGAGACACCCGAACAGATCAAAGTATGACAGATCAATCTGCTCGATGTAACCAACCATTCAGAAGAACAGGCTTTAACACGAGTAAGTTGGTTAAACTTTAGTTTAAATCTGTAGTTCTAAGCTACATATATGACATGAATCCAGTAACCAATGTAGTTCCGAAGAATACCTCATCTACGAAAAGTAAGGATGGCACATCAATATGACAAGAATCCAGCAACCATTTTAGTTCTGCATGAGAACTTAGGTCTGTCCTCTTCATATTAATGATAGGTACAGTGCAGAACTGGTCACTTTTGATTGTCTCATTCAAGTAGAGAGCATACATGATGGTCGAAGCGATGGATCCAACGTCTATAAAAGAAGAAAATGGAAGTCAGATCATAATTGTAGTTACATGTCCTTTACAATTGATTAGTATTTCCAAAACCTGAGTTTCAAGAAAGTAGGAGGAGTAGACTAAGTTATAGCATTGTTCCCAAACTCAATTCCCGGTAGGCTAAGTAGCTGCAAGAATCTTCATGAGTGCGGAAGAATGGTGCATGATCTTAAAAACCAGTGACAAGTAAAAGACTGAATTTTGGGAGAGAAAATATCAAGAAATTAAGTTAGTTAAAAGATTTGTCAGACTAGAAAAAAGGGAATTACCTGAGACATCTTGACCAATTACAGCACGCAAGAATTTTCCAGGAACACCAGCACTCACATCATCCTTTCTGGCTTTCAAGTATAAATTTAGCTTCATGGTGCTTTCACATGATTCCAAAATCTCAAATTGTGGGGAAAATCCATTATAAAATGTTGCGGCCGACTGAGGAAGTGGAATATTTGACAGGTTTGATTTCCTTTTGTTCAGAACAAATGATTTTTCAATCATAGGTCTTGGTAGGACAGGCACAACTTGGTGTTCTTCAGTTGTTTCAAAGGTACCAGGACTGGATTGTTTCACTAAATGATTTGAACCATCTAAATCAAAACTCATATCAGATTGAGAACTTTGGGATTCGAATGATGTTGATCTAGGAACTTTTAACAAAGTCCCAAATGTAGTCTGCTCGAAGGGTTCGAGAATGTCTGAGACTGAATCCTTTACTGGCAAGTCCTTAAACTTTCCAGGAATATCTGAAACACTTGTTCCTCTCAAATCACCAGTGTCTGATGTTGACGGAGAAATATTCTGGCTGCCAGTGTCGTTACCTCTTAGCAGACCAGCGAAGTATGGATTCTCTCGGCCACGAATGTACGAATCCTGCGAGCCAAAAGAGAAATGACAAACTGGCAGCAAATAGAATATCTTTGTGTCCAATTACTATCATCATTTTGGCCATCATTATCACTTTCTCAACGCCTGTTATACTCAACTAACAGTACCACTCGCAGTAATTTTTTTACTCTATGAAAGGTTGTAGATGCGAACAAACTTAGGCAGGCTGCTGAATGTAAGAGAAAATGTGCTGCAGCAATGGATTTCCAAGAAGAAATTCATGTGACAAGGACACAAGGGGCAGAGAATTCATGGCTTGGATGTTGCCTCGGAAACTCTATCTCGATCTTGATCCTCTAGAAGCTAGTTTATGTACTAGCCTGGTATATGCATAGATAGGCCTATTGGCTATGAAATCTTGAACCAACTTTCAAAGCTTCTGAGCAAAATGAGTGCATGATATTCTTGGATGATAGAATCTCTAACCATAAGGTTAATGATTGCTTACAATTTGTTCACTTGAAAATTAAATCAACCTCAAAAAAGAGTCTTGAACAAAGTATTAAATTGTTAAATACTACTGTTCTGAACAAGACTCTGAATTACTAAAGGCAACTAGTCTGATTTATGAAACTGATAAATACCCTGATAAGATTATTGCTGAATATTGAAAGGAATGATCATATGCTTGCCAGTATCTTCTTCATATATATATATATATATATATATATATATAACGGTTAGGGTATCCTTAATCCAGCTTTCACATGCATTTGATTACTTGATTACTACCTTGTAACAGAAGAAAAGAAGATAGCGAGAATAAAAGAGCATGTATCTCTGTAATTTATTTTGTGAAAGTAAAGAAATTTTTTCCAAAACTATTTTAAAGTCATTTATTTTATGTATTTGATTCTGTTTTTTTTTAACAAAACAGTTTCTTATCTTTTTTTTAAATCTATCATTATTTTCTAGGATGCTAACCAAATGCAAGGTGTCGTCATGCCCCATGCCTCACATCGGTGGGTTATGAAGAATCACATCGAGACGGGGCCAATATCTATATATGCTTGTTCTGCACTTTTAGTTTCCAGCACTACTTCCTACTCTTGAACATTAACAGTCTTAACGATGAATTGATAAGGAAAAATAAAGGCAGACCAAGAAATGAGTAAAAAGGTTTAGACAAACTGACCTGAGGCTTTGCTTTGGGAGGTCTCATGTTGGTGATGATGGCAATGGAGACTGAAGAGAAGAGACACAGTGAAGTGATGTTGTAGTAGCTTCGAGTGCTTTACTAGACGGCAAATTCCTAGAGAAAAACAGACAAACCTAGACAATACAGTGGTAATCCTCGTTAACATCGCCATTACAGCAGTTCTTGCAATGTCCAAAACTGCAAAACCAAAGTCTTCTTGTTGTTTCAAATGTCTATAAGCTGCTAGATGAGTTGCCTGGAATATATAGTTTTATATTATTCTATAACCTATCATTTTCTTTCTCTATTTACATTATATATAAAAAATTATTGCTTCCTTTGGCTGTTTTTTATTTCTTTTCAAAATAATTAAGAAATTTTTTCTCTTACACTGATTGATTTCAGTTATTAAAAGTTCCACAAATTGGAATCAATGGGGGTTCATGAACTTGGGGTTTGGCTAAGCATCCCCATAATTAATTTCACATTCTATTTAAAAAAAACAATCTATAGAAAGAGAAGGAAAAAAAAAAGCTATCTTCCTTAGAATTAAAACCCAGAACCAAGCATTAATCATTAAGGTTAATTAATAACAAAAATCAAAGGTTAATAAAGAAACATCATCTGACATTTCTCGAACATGGGCTTCAACAACTTATTCCACATAATAATAGATATGATGTTGCCCAATGAACTGCTACTACTCATCTCATAGTTAGCAGTACTGTAGTACAAGATAAGATCATGCTATAAGGCAATCATGATGTTCATGAATTGTAACTTAATCAAAATCATTGTCCAAAAAAGTTGTTTTCTTTTGAATTTCATCTTTTGACTAAAAAAACTAAGCTCTGGTTGATTGGCTTCTGGGATTAATTCTCTGTTGGCTACTTCATTGTCAAAAGCCACCTTCGGCCCTATCCCATCATGCCAAATAAAGCTCATTAGACTTGGAATTCTCCTCCATGCTTTCCTGCTTCTTGATATAGACATCTAAACTGAAAAAGGCCATCTCTGTCAACCTTTTATTTTTTTTTTCGAGGACAATGTACGAGTTTCATTTTTCTTGCCCATCATGTGCCCTTACCTTATGGCTGCTGTTAATCTCTATGATTCCAAACCATCGACACGATATAGATGATCCATATTTATGATTAGATCCAAATTGAATGTGTTCCATTTTCTTGCCCATCGTGTCGATGCTCTACGTTTTTCCATGGTTAGTTTAGTGCCTGATGGGCACTGCTATAGTTTATGCATTTTAAAGTGTTTTTTAGATTATATTTTATTTAAAAAATATTAAATTAATATTTTTTAGGTGTTTTTAAATAATTTTAATATGCTGATGTAGAAAAAAAAATATTCTTTTAATATATTTTTAATTTAAAATACTTTTAAAAAATATCATGTATCATATCATCAAATACTTGAAATTAAAGTAATGATTTGACATATTAGAATTTTAGGGACTAAATTTCAAGGTTTCACATTTCAATTATTTCTGGTTGTTTTATCAAATTTCTTTTAATTATAAGTTGCTAAAATAAGTTATCAAACTTTTTTTATTTTCTTTTAATTATGATGTACATCTCTTGATTACATGGTCAAGTAACCACTAACAAAGTAAATAATAACTTGTAAAGTCAAAAATTAAATTTGATAAAACTCCGATTCAAAGGTAACTCTATATGTAACTTTGGCTCAAATGTAACTCTATATCTAAAAATCAAAAATATCAAACAAAAACTTTAACATAGAGATAATTTTGTATCTAAGAACTCTAAGTATTCAAATGATGCTATTAAGTCAATTAAATATTTTCAATAAATTAATGTACGATCTTCGTTTCTATAAAAAAAAGATTGTTTTACTACAAATAAACAATTATTCTTCAACTTTTTGCTCAGATTTGCCGCTCAAAAAAATGAAGTATTGTTTCTTTTAACGAACTTTAATATATCTCTTTCGAATTGCAAGCTAATGAATCTCAACTAGTAATTAACTAATATAAATGTAATAATTAAATAAACCCTTAAAAAATATCTAATGGGCCAAAACAAACCAAAATTACAAATAAGTATTCAACATTGAATAAATAAATAGAATAATAAAACAAAGTCTTCATGCTAAAATTCCTCTATATAATCCAAATCTTTAATTTTTACACATTCTTAGCATATTTCAATTCTGACTTCATATACATTATTTTCTCTTATTTGAATGAACTAGGCCTACCATGTATAATTGCAAAGCTTGAAATATTTAGTTTTCATTACAGCTTGAATCACATCAAAATCTCACCTAGTCTAGTCTTACAGATTTAACAAGATTCATCTTGTAACTTCAACTATTTGAAAATAAAATGTTTCTGAACTCTATTTTAGCAAATTTATCATAATATAGTTCCACATGTCTGGTATCTTCCTATAGAATTTTAACTCGATTCAATATATAATTTAAAAAATATGTCAAATCTCATAAAATTAATCAATATATATTTTAAGATCAAATTCAGACTTGACTTGATTCATATCAAATTATATATGTTATAATATCTTAAAAATAAACAAAATATCATGTATTATAGTATCAAGCACTTAGAACCAAAGCAATTATTTAACATATTAAAATGTTGATCACTGAATTTCAAGTTTTAGCACTTTAATTATTTCTAGCTTTTCTTTTATCAAATGTCTATTAATTATAAATTGCTAAAATAAGTCATTAAACTTTTTTATTTTCTTTTAATTATGAAGTGTGTCTCTTAATCACATGGTCAACTAACCACTAACAAAATAGATAACAACTTGTAAAGCCCAAAAATAGATTTGATAAAACCTCGACTCAAAAGTAACTTTATATCTAAGAACAAAAAATATTAGAAAAAGACTTTGATATAAAGATAATTTTGAATCTAAGAACTCTAAATATATGAATGACACCACGAAGCTAGTTAAATAGCTTCAATAAGTTAATGTACAATCTTTATTTCTGTAAAGAAAGGTTGTTTTGCTACAAAAAAAAAAACAAAAAAAAGACTCACTTTTATTCTTAACTTTTTGCTCAGATTTGTAGCTCAAAAAAACATAGTATAGTCTCCTTTAACTAGTCCTAATGTATTCCTTTTGAGTTGCAAGCTAATAGATCTAAACTGGTAACTTAATAATTAAATAAATTCATAAATAATGTCTAATGAGTTAGAACAAACTCAAATTAAAAATAAGTATTAAACATTAAATAAATAAAAAAATTAAAATAATAAAATAAAAGTTTTCATGCTAAAATTCCTTCATTTAGACCAAATCTTCAATTTTCGCTTATTCTTAGTAGATTTCAGTTATGAGTTAAAACACGTTGTTCTCTCTCGTTTGGATAAATTATTGGGCCTATCATATATAGTTAGAAAGGTTGAAATGTTTAATTTTCATTACAACTTGAATCACATCTAAATCTCACATGTAGATCCAAATATATCTCAAATAGTATATGAAGGTCTAGTCTAACAGATTTGACAAAATTCATCTAGTAACTTCGGCTCTTTGAAAATAAAATGTTCCCAAACTCCTTTTTAACTAAAAATTTACTGTAATATAGTTTCATGTGTCTAATATCTTCCCGTAGAATTTCAGCTCGATATAATATACAGTTTGAGAAATATGTTTGATTTTATAAAATTAATCAACAAATATTTTAAGATCAAATTTAAATATAATTTAGTTTGTATCAAGTTATATATATTATAATATCTTAATTTTAAATAATTAAGGGTGATTGCTATTAAGGTTTTATTTGGGAGTATGATAGAGATTGTTTTTTAAAGTATTTTCTATTTTGAAATAATTTATTTTTGATATCAAAACAATTTAAAACCACTAAAACAATTAATATTTTTAAAAGATATAGTTAGAATACAATACAAAATAAAATTTAAAGCTATAATAATATCTTTTTCTGCATTAAAAAGAAGATGTAATTAATTTATTTGAAAGACTTAGATGGTAAGAAGAAGAATCATTTCGAAGATTTTGAGTCCGAATCATATCATTAGAAATCACGAGATCTGTTTACTTTTTAGTAAAATCACTGCTAAAATCATCTCGAAACTATATATTTTAACTGTACGGACTCGTAAATTCATTTTCAGTCACTTCAAGCTGTGATCATTCCATTTTCTCTCCATCTTGTTCGAATAAAGCTATGTTTTTCCTGGTCAAATAACTATTGATTTACACTCCACTCGACTAAACATGCAACCAGTCGGCCTGCCCAGCTTTATAAAATAAATATCTTCAAATAATTCTGAGCATGTTCATTGAAAACATTCAAGTTGTGTATGGTTACTATTTTAAAATTTTAAAAAAAAATTGAAGATAAAAACATTAAAATTACAAATTTATTTGAATAAAAAAACAAAAAAAAATCATACAAATAAACCAGTCTTTAATAAGTTCTTATACTTTCAAAAAAAAAAAATATAAGAAAACAAGTAAATATTTCTTGTCTGTCGACATTATCTTTATCTCTTTTATTCTAAAATAGTAACGAAATGATACCCAGCTTTTAGCTGCGAAGCACCGGGCTGAAAAAGATACTCCACTTGAAACCTTTTTAATTAAATTCTTCTGTCTCTCACACAGTCTTTATAGTATTTTGTTTTTTTCTTTTCATCTTTTTGACTAATAATCTTGATTTGACTGCAACAAAATTATTTTTCTTGGCTAATCATGGTTAATGCCAAATTATTGTAGTCATTAAATTCAGTTTTGATAATTAATACATGTTTTTAATTAATTATACAAATAATTGTCTCAATTTCCAATCCCCCCCATTTTTCTTCATGTCAGTTTGCAGCACTTACGTAGGTTTTATAGAAAATATTTGAAAGAATCTTAAGCCAATATATACTTTGATATACACTCGGGGTGTTTAATTGGATGATAATGTAATAGCTTTTACGTTCAGATTTGAAAAAAAAATTATAAATTATATTTTTTTTATAATTAAGATTTTAAATGAGAATTTCTAAGGAACCCATATATATAAAACTATAGTGTATATTTATTAATTAATTAATTATTTTTAAAAACTGTGGTTAGATTAAAACACAATTTCAAACGCACCTCACTACTCTACACAAAATGCTATTAGCTAGTATCTTAAGCCAAAAAATATATACTTATGATGCACCTTTTTTTATGTGTTGAGATCAAAACAAGTTTAATTATATTTTTAATAATGTAGTTGAAAATGGGTTTAATTGAAAAGGCAATAAATTAATGTTTTTTTTTAGTATTTTTCAATAATTTG